CCTTACCGTTAATATGTCCAGTAAGTGTCAGATTTTCCAAGCCTTCTTTCCTCATTATGTGCCCTAGAAATTTCAACTGTCTCTTTCTGATTCTAAATACAAGTGTCCTTCTTGTTACAATTTCTGTAAAACTTTGTCATTGCACTCATGTCCAGTAAGAAGGACTTGTGACCATATCATGTTGAAACACAGGTTTCCTGGTCAGTATCTAGATGGGTGACGGCTTGGGAACACTAGATATGATAAGGCTGGGTGTGCAGGTGGTGTAATTCGGAATTGTTAATCGGAGGACCGAGTTCCAATTCCAGTTGGTTTCGCTATATTCACTTACGGGCAAATACCCTTGGGGATGGCATGAATCCATCTTTTCTCTACCCAGATATGGGTTAATTAGTAAGACTTGTATCACTAAAACATTATTATCTCAAAAAAAATTTCTTACAGCTCAAAATATTTTCTGGCTTTAAATAACCTGTAAAAGATTGATAATCCGTAGAAAACGAATCAATCAGTGATGGTCAGTAGGAAGAGGCTTGAGGTAGCAAAAATATGGTTTCTATCATTAGTCTAACCATAAAACTGACGGAATCCCTCTGAATATGCGTTTCATTTTACTCTCTGTTAAAAGTAAATATCACAATAGGTAATATAATATATAGAGAAAATGATCATATATATATAGATCACTACGTGTACAGGTTCCATAAATACGGGATATATCAACTGTGAAAAGTATAGTCGTTAGCAAATGGGGCAGCCCAAAATGCGAGCTATTAATTGAAGATGCCAAAATCAAACAGGAAAACATCGTTCGAAACAAAGAAAAGAGAATTGCTATATATCAATTCTATTATATGACACTAAATGCTGAACAATTTCATCACAGACGAAAACAAGACTTAAGGCAACAGAGATGTGGTTCTACAGAAGTAATGCTTGGGAGGGCTTCGAGAATTTGACACTGACAGAACATATTAAAGTCAATAGGACAAAGGGAAACGTAGAGTTACGTACGTAAGGAGGTTGTTGTAAATAAATGGCATATCAGGTAATGGAAGGGAGACCTTGCAAAGACTTATAGGGAAAGGAAGATTGTAGTGCTTCATCAATGCACACGTGTTCAGTGGGAAGAATCTTGAGGTAGCAAAAATGTAGTTCCTATCATTAGTCAAACCATATAATTGACGGAAACCCTCTGTATATGCGTTTCAATTTACTCTCGATTAAAACTAAATATCACAATAGGTAATATAAGAGCAAATGATAATATACACAATAGTACAATAATACAATAATATTATATATATATATATATATTATAGATGTTTATATATATATATATGTTATATATATTATAGATGTTTATATATATATATATATATATATAAGCAAGTGTAAATGGATATAAATCCGACAGAATGAAGAAATTTTGAAAAAACAAACAAAAATCCTTAAATGTAGTTAAATGAAAGAAATGTCGACGTCTGACGTTTCGGTTTATTAAACCTTTTTCAAGACAATATTCATCAAAATACAATTCAGTTCAATATGACAAATACGATGGACATAAAAACACAAGTCTTATTCAGAACAGATAACTGAAAATTTTTAAAATGATCAGCCTTCCGTCTAACATGGTCACGCTGTCGTCACATGGGCGACGCTTTCATAACGTATTCCTAAAAGTTTGTGATTATTTTGAAATGAAAAGAAAAGAAAATGAAAAGAATTCTATTAGGTTCCAAAATTCTTATGTGTATGCTTGTCGAGCATCAATCTCGCTAAAAAGGGGAAATATTAAAGAAACCAGGTCTAGTATTCACCGTGCGTGAGATGGATATTATACCTGCTTCATAAATCCTCCTGAGATTTTTATTATGAAAATATTTTAATACTTTCACGGAATCGAAATCGAAATTATGATCTGCTTTAGTTGTGTGTACAACTAAAGCATTGTTAAAATTACCGAGACGAATATCTCGTTTATGTTCGAAAACACGAGATTTTAAGGACCTACCTGTTTCACCCACATATTTTAGGTCACAATTTTTGCATGATATTTGATAGATGCAAGCATCGGATGTAATATGTTGTCTGCTGGTGCTATTTAATAAACTACGGATAGTCCTAGTAGGTAATATAGTAGTTCTAATTTTTAATGCATTTAGATTATGAGAGATACGTTCGGTCAAATGGTTATTTGGTAAAAAGATGCGACCAAACGAAATATTATCAGAGGTAGCTGAAATTGTATCTTTCATTGATCTAATTGTAGTGGCCTTTGAGGTGTCATTTTGCGCTGATGAGTGAATTTTCAACGCTTTATTTATATATATATAAGAGGAAATGATCATATACCAGGTGTAACAGCAAAATTGTCCAAATCGTGTGACCGCATGGGATAATTATCCATCCCATAAAAATTTTCAATATCAAAACAACCACCAAAATAATTGAGTTTCTTTTTTTTCCAGGTATTAAGATAAGACGTTTAGCCATCTTGACACCATTTGTTGTAAGAATCTCTAAAAAAAAACTTGAGTTATCCAGCTTGAAAGAGATCCGGTTAAAATAGTTTTGTGTCAGTCCCAGTATGTCTTCTGAACTGTGCAATGATGAAAAGAAAAAGATCATTCAGGCCTTCCATAATGGTACCAACATTCATACTCTGGCTTCCATCTTCAAAGTCCATTCAAGAACCATCAAGAGAACGATGAATAAGTTTAAAAAACAGGGAGAGGAAACCTGGATCAGGAGGTCGGAGCAGGAATAGGGATCATCATTTCAACTTAGAGCTAAATACATTCTTATTGTTCAAAGTAGAGTCTAATAGTGTTATAAAAAGCTCAGCGAATTCCAGTAAGATATCTTTAATCATTTCTAAGATACAACGCTTTAAAGCTTAATCTAACAATTAGACAATTTTTCCGTTGTAAGATTTAGACAATTTTGCTGTTACTCCCGGTACACAGATCAGTACGTGTACAGGTTCCATAAATAAGGGATATATCAACCGTGCAAAGCATAGTCGTTAGCGGGAAGGCCAGCCCGAAAATGCGAGCTACTAATTGGAGATGTCAAAATCAAACAAGTACAGGAATTTAATTATCTGGAAAATGTTTTAATAGACGACGGAAAATATCGAAACAAAAATCTGAAGACACATTAAAACAGCGAAAGATGCCTTCCAAAAGCTAAACAATGGACTAACAAACAGGAAAATTTCGTTCGGTACAAAGAAAATTGTTATATATCAATCCTCCTATATGACAGTGAATGCTGAATAATTTCATCACAGACGAAAAGGAATGAGGAATTGTTAATGTAAATGGAAAAAAAAGGGCCGATTGTAGTTAGAATCAGGAAGAGAAAGTTGAAATTTCTGAGATACATAAGGAGGAAAGAGGGGGTTGACAAATTTATCAATGACAGGACAAATTAAAGTCAATAGGCACAAAGGGAAACGTAGAGTTACGTACTTAGAAGGTTGTTGTAAATAGATGACATACCAAGTAATGGAAAGGATAGTAAAGAGACATTACAGAGACTTATAGGGAAAGGAAGATTGTTGTGCACCAATTGAAGTGAAGAGGAACTGAGTGCCTATTTTCAAAAACCAGCAATCAGTTTTTATTTCGGTACCAGAATCGACCATTAGCGTCAATGGACAATACACAACTACCTTAACTCATTCTTCTTGAGTGGACCTACATTAAGGTTTAGTCCGTGAGGATAGCTTAGGGACTATTGTTCCTTGATAAGGCTAGAACTGGGTTATACTTTCAAAGTTAGGTCCTACAAATTTCATTTGATCTTCCTCTCAAAGTTAAACAAATTGATTTTTAAAGTAGTGTCGTATGTGATTCATCCTAGAAGTTTGAATCGAATTTAACTTCCCTCAAAAATTATTGACCTGTTGTTTACTTATACCAAAGTGAGCTTTGGACTCGGTGTCACTTCAGGGAGCCAAAGGAAATAGGGGACGCAAAAGAAAATGTCTTAGCCACAAGTTTAGAAACAGAACTCAAAAGGATATCGATGGATGCACCAACACAAAGAGGAAGCAAACACAACAGAACATAGTATATATGTACACACAAGAGAACACAAAAATAGCAATTTATATAAGCGCTCGAACACGAGTGAGAAGGCAGAGTCCCTTAAATCCTTGAGAGAAAAGATCGAACTCTTTGAAGAAAGCTCAGGAAACCACATACCATCCACGGCTGGTATTAATTTGGAGGAGTCCAGAGATGAGCAATAAAAGTAATTTTACGTATGAAAATTTTAGTATTGTATTTTTATTAGACGTTGCTAATATGACATTGCCCGAAACATAGCAAATAGCGAATTTCAAAATTTATTAGCGCTGGTCTTTCAAAAGTAGTTCAGTCCGTCAACTTAGAACTAATGATTTATTTTTAGCTTCCAACGAGGAGCCATTTCGCATGCTTCCTCTTCAAAGATTTTCTTTAAGCCATTTAATTATTTTCCTGGCATCATTCACAATTTCAGTTAGAAAAAAAAGTCTGATCATTTATCGATTAAAACAGGCGTGGATAGTCATTGCGTCAGTATTGATTAGTTGGCTTTTTTTTGTTTTAAATTTAACTTTGTTTCTAATCATTTACTCATTTCATTTGCTCCTCACAAGAACAAATCGGGTTTCGATTCTAATTCTTAATCAAACAGATCGGAATTTGTCGGCTCAATGATAAAACTCTTTTCGACATCTTGCGCCGGCCATCGATTAGATTATGTTACGGTTTGCGCCCGATTCACCGGTAAGTGGCAACATTCACGACAACAGAATCATTTTAACCACTCCTGTCATTCCTGATATCGCGAAGGTGACTTACGTTATAGTTTTATTGTTGCAGTTGTTAGCACTTTAGAAAAAGAAAGGTTTACCTATGCTACCTGACGACATTGCCACATTTTCTTTGCTTGTTTCTTTTTATTTTCTTTATTTCTTTTCCTTTCGTTTACTCTTTACTCACTGGGTGGGGAGATAGATAGATAGATAGATAGATAGATAGATAGAGAGAGAGAGAGAGAGAGAGAGAGAGATTCAGATATATAGAAATATAGACAATTTTAATTCTTTTTTCGTTTCCCATTTTTCTTTTTTTCTTTTTCTTTTCACTTTTCTCATTCTTTTTATTTTCTTTATTTCTCTTTTGCTTTTTCCTTCGTTTTTATTTCTTTTGTTACTCAGTGGGCGATTCATTAAAGATAGATAGATAGATAGAGAGAGAGAGAGAGAGAGAGTGTATGTGTGTGTGAGAGAGAGAGAGAGTGTGTGTGTGTGTGAGAGAGAGAGAGAGAAAGCATTAAAGAGAGCAAAATTCATATAAAATATAGACGATTTTTTTTCTTTTTCGTTCTTTCTTTATACCGGGGAAGAGTCTTTTCCAGTCGATAATAAATAAATGAAGTACAACTATTCATGGATTGATTGACTTTAAGAATCACTTCCCGGGCGAGAAACTGGCTGTTTACGCTCAACACAATCAGTAGACCAATTTCAAGGATGGGTAAACGGGCCTTTTCACTAACAACGTTATTCACTCTGGTCCTGGTGATGCAAATCATCATAGACTTTAGCCAGCAGCCGTGGGCGAGTGTTGCAAAGTGTGATTTGCCTATGCACTGCGGATCCTTTTTAGTGCAATAGGAGAACTATATCTCCAGGTGCCTGGTGTTATACCGAGGTGTCGCGTTCCATATCACGTGGGATTAAGGATAAATATCTCACTGATCTCTTGTTACATTTGAAATCGGGTCAGAGTGAAAATAAACAAACATGTCGTTGTATTATCCTAATTATACAAAGATCTATTTTACGTGCTAGAAAAAAAAAAGAAGATTTTTAGTTTTATTATTACATATGTAAACCTTTTTTTCCTTCTGTTCGTATGCACTATTTTCTTGTGGTATATTTGATTATGTGACCATAGTTATACATGTATCACTTCTCTGTGGAAAAAAAAAAAGAAAAAAAAGTCACCCTGGCATATTTACTCAGCTATTTGCATACAAATGTCTGAAACACGTGCACTCTGAAATTGAACTGTTTGTCGGCCAGTGTACTTGGTTGCTTTGAATGTTATGAAGGCAACTAGTTTACCTGGAGTCTGTTTAGTCCGACTGGAGCGTGAACAAGGCGTAAGTTGTAAGGTTAGTTTGGAGCGAGGTAATTACTCTAACTAAAATCAGCGACGGTGGCAATTCTGCAATCGGCCATAACGAGGAAAGGCAGAAGTGAAAGGGATAAAATGGCTCATATTCGGAAGCGTCGTATAAACCTGTCAAAGTGCAATTATGTAGATATTTACGAACCTTAATCTACTCTGTTGCAGGGTTACAATCTTTTCACGGCCTTACAGAGGTGGGTGATTAATCCTTCCCGCTTCCTGCTAAAACTAATAGTTAAACAGAAAACAAAATTTATCATCTTGACTTCTATCTATTGTGATGAATTGTATCATTTGTCTAAAATCAATTTTCTTCTTCTTTTGATAGATTTAGGCTCTCCCCAGATTCATGAGAATCTGTCGCGCTGGAACAATGCGTGTTGGTAGGGGCGGATGAGACACGCTTCGGTGATCGTGTCTATTTTCGATGCATGATCGACCAAGTTGTTCAAGTGAATGTAACAAACTCGACTGGAAATCGAACTCAGCTCTCCGATTTCTCATCCCGAGCTGTTATTTATTAAACCATCTGCACATCCAAGTTTACGGCACCTGATAATCCCTCTGACTTTTCTGCAAATATTTCCATGGCAACTCCTTTGATGAGATTTTTTTCCCTGGTGCCTCGACCTCATGAATTTAAATGTGCTACTAGATTGGCAACTAGGTCTCACCGTTTTATTGTTGAACTAGATTTAGGCAAATGCTACTTCTACTTTAACAGTTTCATTTCTCGCACTTCCCGACTGTACAACTCCCTCCCGATTTCTTGTTTCCCTGGTAACTACAATCTTCAAAAATTTAAATGCTACGTCAATCACCATGTTCTGATGTCTTGAACCCTGTTTCTTTTGTGTTCTTTCCTCAATTCTCACCATTCTTGGTCTTCTCAATCTCTTTCACTCCCTGTAACCCTCCCCCAGCGCTCTAGTTAACTTATCGTCTTGTTTGAGGAGAAACGGTTAAAAATAAAAAAAAAATAACCACCACACGAACTAATAATAAAATATTAGATAGCTTTTCTTTAACAATACTAAATTACTCCATAAATCTAATTGCAAAAAATAAATACCATTGTAGCTCTATACATTCGACAAAAAAAAAAAGTCCATTAATAAAAATAGCCATAGTCTAAAACCCGATATTCTTCAATAAATATATATATATATATATATATATATATATATATATATATATATATATATACTCGCATGTCATGCGCCTTTTGAAGACCTAATTTAGAAGCTAATTTTAAGTGGGTCTCATCATACACGAGATATAAAATTACCGTATGTACTGCTGGTACTGGCTACGCAGTTGACCAAACCATATTTCCATTTATTTTAATCAAATTAGCTAAAGGTATATATATATATATATATATATATATATATATATATATATATATATATATATATATATATATATATATATATATATATATATATATATATATATATATATCTGTGTATACACGTCTGAAGCAATCCTCTTTATGCAAGTTTACGTTAAACACGACTGACATAAGTTTAATGATTAAGTTCTTTTTTGCATAATCTTTCATGTGTTCTCCTGTTTGTTTTTCTTTTCAGAACAATTTATATAAAAAAAAGTGTCAAAAAAATTGTTTTATATATCCAAGCGTTTTCGGTTATACTTTTAGCCATTATCAAGGATGAATTTTATTTGACTGAATATACATTATTTTATGTATGTATCTAGAGGCAGAGTAATGTTTTATATTCCAAATACGGTCAGCATATAGTGGCCGTGTTCATAGTTGATATTCAGTGTTGGTATTTTCTTTTTTATTAATAATATTTCCATTATTTTTAGCGTTTTTGTACATTTAGATGATACTATTATATTTGTACTATCAACGAGTACCATACATACACATGAAAAATTATATATATAAAAAAAAACAAAAATCAAAACTTAACCTAAAAGAGCATCTTGTCACTCTTTTTTAACGAAAAACACACCCAAATAATATATATATATATATATATATATATATATATATATATATATATATATATATATAAGCATTGAATTTCTATGCATGAGAACCAAGCAGATCATTTTAGAACTAAACCACTAGATTACTCATACAAATGAGTTTAATAGATCGATGAAGGCTAGTGTAGGACCAGCCACACATTTAAGAAGAGCAAACCCCCAAATTGACCTCTTCAAGTTTGAATTCAGTTTTCTTTCTCCGAGTCAGGCTGCCACACAAGGCATGATCTAGACTGGTCTACTTTGCTATTTAATCCAGAGATGTTTTAAAATCATTTCACACCAAGCAAAGCGATAAAGCTCTCAAGACACATGATTAATGAAAGTAAGAAAAACTTCGAGGGGGTGAGGGGACATTAAAAACTGGGATTCATAGAGACAGAAGATGACGATTGACGTTGCATTTAAATTTTTAAAGGTCGTAGTTGACAGGAAAGCAAGAAATCAAGAGTTCTGCAAACGAGAAATGCCAGAGAAAAAAAAAGAAAAAAAGAAAACATTAGTATAGAACTTACAATTACACCTAGCAAGTTTAACAGTAAAATGATGAGACCTAACTGCCAATCTAGTGCTGCACTTAAATTTGTGAAGTTGTATCAAAGGGGAAAGTTTACAATAACAATTACTATAAAAATAATTATACAGGAGGTCCCAAAAGTTTTCAAGGGTTTACAAATTTGATAACTACTTTATTTCTTAACTTTAATTCACAATACCATAGTATTGTATAGAGGAAATAGTGGAAATTAATTTGCACTAGTTGAGAATGATTATATCGTTTAAGTGGCATCCATTTTAAGTTACGCACGAATGTTCCCTCTCTAAGGCTTTTCCTCATCACGGCCCTCAGTGTTTCAGGCTCTAGTGCTTTGATGTTTGTCTAAACGCTGTCCTTCAGTTTTTGGAGCGTCTGAGGCCTGTTGACAAACTTTTCTTTGGGATAGCCGCATAGGAAGAACTCGGGGCTTGTCGAATCCGGGAAAGTTGGCAGTTTATGCTACAATCGTGAGAAAATTATTCTTTTCCACAAAATTTGTCTGGGGAGCTGAATTGTGGCAGTTGTCGCATATTTCAGCGGAAACAGGTTGATGTATTCAAAAATTCGTTGGAGTGACGTCCGAAACCAGTCGAGATCGCCTTCGAGTTGACGTGTTCAGATCTTCTTCGATACTCTCCCTTACTCGCTCAAATACTCCTTTGTCTTTATTTCTCCAAACATGGTATGCCACCACGTGGAAGGTGACTTATTGAACCTTTACTCTCAAAGTTTGGAGAGACTCACACTGTAATGGCGACGATATGCTCGCTGAGTTTAAGTATTGATGCTGGGTTTTGATAGAAAGATTTCATAACTTATGCCTTTTTCAGTCGTTTTTTTTTAATTTAATTTATTTTATTTTTCTACATGATTAATTACAATTGTGTCTTTTATAAAATACATGTAAAAAAAAATAAACACACACACACACACACACACACACACACACACACACATACACACATATATATATATATATATACTCAAGTATAGGATTGGTGTATACGGAATAAATTCCAATAACCAAAAAATACTATTCATAAAAGAGCGCTCAATACAGAGTAGAGCAAATATAATTTCTTCGAAAATTATAACATAAAACATGTATTTATTATATATATATAATATATATATATATATATATATATATATATATATATATATATATATATATATATATATAAGAGAGAAAAAGAGAGATTCAATGTAGAAATAAAGACAATGTTTAAATTGCTGCGGGATGAAATAAAATACCTTCTACAATAGAGAGTAATTTGGACATTAATTATGACATTGAATCTTTCTTATAAACGCGGGCCTTTTTCAGCATCTCCCTCATTTATTTATTTTTCATCGTCCATGTATAATAGTTCATGTCATTAGCAAGAATATCCTAGAATAACGAGTCAGTGAGAGGAGAAGAGAGAAACTTGATTTACGATTTCAGGGTGTGAAATCGTAGAAGTCTGAAGAAAAGAAAAAGGAGAGAGGTAAAGAGAGAGAGAGAGAGAGAGAGAGAGAAAGAGAGAAAAAGAGAAAGAGAGAGAAAGAGAAAGAGAAAGAGAGAAACAAAAACAAACAAGAAAAACAAGGAGAAGAATCAGTATGATCGAAAAAGTTAAGGAAAGAAGGCAAATGAAAGTAGAAAAGAATTTTTTTCTCCGGAGAGAGTGGAAGAGAGAACCTCAGCGTTCTTATCCCGAATATTAAAAGGGAAAGAAAAAAGCGTCTACAAACAAGACTCGAAACTACTAAGTGAAATTTGAAATGAACAGTTCTTACAAAACAATTTCTTACAGAATATGCTTAAACAAAAATTCTTTTTTTGCGTCTTTTTAGCAAAGACACATAACTGATAACACTGTATAAAGACTCAAAACAATCTTAAAAAAACAACAACAAAAAAAAACGAAAACAAAAACAAGACAAATAAAAAAAAAAACAAAAACAAAAACAAAAAATAAAACAAAAAAAAAACCAACTCTGAGGAGGTAAGGAAAAACTTTAAGGATGGAAATATTCTTTAAGTAAACGTCCACACACCTAAAAAAAAAAAAATAAAAAAACAATAAACAAAAAACATAGAAAGGCGCTTTGTCAAAGCCACTTCCATCACTGGGACATTTAACAAGTTTTTTTTTTTTTTTAGAACTCTGTTGTATTAACGGGTTTCCTTTGTTTCACGTCTTTTCCGAGTGTGAGAGACAGCCCAATTCACTCAAATATGACTGCCAAAATAGCTTTTACTTCTGGAACCTTATTTATCTGCCTTCAGGACAAAGTTTTCATGTCTCCACTGACTTGGTCAAAAATCTATTCGAAATTCTTATCATCATCTGATCGAAAATGATATCTTTTAATGTTACTCGCTGACCTGTTTTCTTATATATAATGGAACGGGCTCCAGACGGATCAACTTTAAATTTACGTGAGTAGAAGTCACCCTTTTGATTGGACAATAAATACAAAGAGTTCTTTTTAAATTTGGAAAAATGAACTTTGGAATAGTCCGGCACAGTTTGTCTCAGGCTCGCGTCATGACAAGACAAGACAAAACAAGACAAGACGAGACCTCTGTCTTCACGCGGATGAAGGCTCAGTCGGGCTCTGTCTTCAGAGAGAGACTCGGCTGGGAAAAACAGACCAGTTCTGTACCCGAGCCCGCTTTGGCGGGGGGCTGGGTAAATTTTGACCATTGGTCCGGGTGGAAATGCTCGGGTTCCCCACGGTAAACTTAACCTTGTGTCGCATCTAGTCTACAGTGGGGCCACTGGTAAATACCAGGAATGGCGTGAGCGAATTATTTTCGACGGTTCTTTGAGAGTTAATTCTAAATTTAGAAACTTTTACAGACAAATGTAACACATCAAATTTATTATTTTTATAAAGCAGCTGGATTTCTTTTAAATATATTTTTCCCAAAAGTATGTATAAAAGACAAACTCAGACAATTATGATATTAATTTATTTAAAATATCTACAGTTTTTATTAATCAATATTTTTAGTTATTTTATATTACTAATATTTTTTTTTAGAAATAGACAGACAGACAGGTAGCTGGATGTGAAAGCGGCAAAACAAAAGAAGAGCGGAAAGAGTCGATATAGAAAGCAGAAGAAAGAAGAAGGGTAGTAAATAAGGAAAAAAATAATTGAAGGAGATAATATGAAGCTAAAGAAAGAATTAAAATCTTTAAAAAATGAATTGTCCGGTAAAAGATGAAGACGAAATGAAGAAAAAGGCAATAAGCATGAAGTTGTCTGAAAGAAAAGTTAATTTTCTAAAAAAAACAAAAAACAAAAAAGAAAGTAAGCGAAAAAGGAGCGAGAACGAAAGAAAACTAAAGATGTCTAATAACACTTTTTTTCATGTGCGTACAGTGTAACGGTTATCATCTCCGAAAGTGGAATCGGCGAGTCGAGTTCAAATTCCAGCCTCATCTGTGGTGTTCACTTTCGTGCTAATCATTTTCAAAAAAGCTGGAATCCATCATTTGTCCATCACCAAAAGCTAAATAGTAGAATAGACAAATCTCACTAGCCTTGGATGGCAACCAGTCTAAGAGAAAGAAAATTCCGAAATCAAAATCGCGGATAAGGCAGTTGAAAACTACATTATCTTTGCCGAAAAGTCAGCAATTCACAGATAAAAAGAAGAGGAATCTGTCGAGTGTCATGATAGCCTACGACCCGAAGGGACATTACAAAAATACAAAGAAAGAAAAGAAAAAGATTGATTGATTTGTTTTCTAAGGCTTTGTAGGTTATTTAAAGCCAGGAACTTTTGTGGCGATAATAACGGTTTAGTGATACAAATTAACCCATAGCTAGGGGGGATTCATACCTTTCCCCAGGAGCATTTGCGTGTAAGTAAATAAAACGAACCCAACGGCATTGTAACTCGGCTCTCTGGTTAACAATTCGGAGCCATTATTCATTACACCCCCCCCCGCACATTCAAGCTGTTATTTCTAAACAGTCACCCATCTAGGTACTGATCAGGCTCAACGTTGCTTAATTTTGGTGATCGTACGGGAACCGGGGTTTAAAAGAAGAGAAGATAAAATAAATCGAAAGACTTGGATACTTGGATAGGTAAGAGAGAAAACCTACAGACAGCTTGTCAAGGAGAGAGAGAGAGAGAGAGAGAGAGAGAGAGAGAGAGAGAGAGAGAGAATAAGATAGATAGATAGACAGATATATAGAAAGAGATAATGAGATAGAAATGAGAGAGAGAAAGAGAATGAGATAGATAGATAGATAAACAGATGGAGAGAGAGAGAGAGAGAGAATAAGATAGATAGATAGACAGATATATAGAAAGAGATAATGAGATAGAAATGAGAGAGAGAAAGAGAATGAGATAGATAGATAGATAAACAGATGGAGAGAGAGAGAGAGAGAGAGAGATTTGAAAATTTACAAGTTAATGATATTTATTCCGGATATGGAGATGCTGTAGCTATTGTTGCTCTATCCAAGAGCAGGTCTTTTATTGCTGACTACTTAACGAACATCTAATGACCAAGGGTCAGCAGTTGGCGTCCGCACTCGCGGGCAATGGCCATAATCGACTGCAATTACTTTCATTACAGGGCATCTCCTCAGTGACTGAATGGATGGATCGAGCCAACTTGTCCATATAAACGGTTATTTTGACCACTATTGATACGATCAGTTTAGTTCACGCTCATTTCATCATTAAGGATATCGACTTGAAAAGTCTGATCCCGATTTGATCCTTTAAGTTTAACAAAGCTGAACGTGGTTGTTACTTGATTAGGTAACTATGAATTATTCGTTCATCGATATCGTCTTATCAAGTTGACGATGTCTTTTAATTAAGTCTGAATCAGTCAGAATAAGATAAACGACTACCATGCCAGTAGGAACATTTACCCTACCCCTGTTTGATATTAGTGTCACCATGCTAATAATTTAACCCAAAGAAAGTACATTTACAATGAAAGAACAATTTGATTTTACGTGCTATATCTGTTCAATACATAAATGATCATAGCTCTTCACATCTTCTATTTCTTTAATCAATAAAAAAAAAATGGTTGTTTTTGGTTTAGCGGCATATCATCACCTCTATGGATTATTTAATGCTGAAATTTTTTACGCAATTTTATTTTATTTTTTGGAGATAGTAATGGTTTTAGCGATATAAGTCTTACTAATTAACCTATATCTGGGGGGAGATGAGCTGGATTCAAATTTTTCCCAAGAGTATTTGCGCGTAAGTGAATATAACAAACCAAATTGGAATTGAAACCCAGCTCTCCGATTAACAATTTCGAGCCATTATCCATTAAAACACATGGTATTTTCAAGCGGTTACCCATCTAGGTACTAATCAGGCTCGGCTTTGCTTAACTTCAATGATCGTACCGGAACCGGCGTTTCAATGTGATGTGGCCGTAAGCCATGGTTACTCCTGGAGAAAATTTCGAAGTGTTTTGCAGCTTTTGAATTTCGTGTTGTTCCCATATACTGGTTGCCAAACAAGGCTAGAGTACTCGGTCTGTCTATCATAACCCTTTGTTAACATGAAAAATATGAATTCATGCATTTCTCATGAGTATTAGTTTGAAATGAGCACAGGTTGTTTGAGATAGAATTCGAACTCAAATTGCCGATTTCACTTTTAAAAGTTAATTCAGCCTGGCCTTTTTTTTGCAGCTTCTTCTTTTGTTCTTCATGTTTCTCTATGGGCCGTATCTCCTCAGGTTATGGACGATCATGGTTCGTCAAAAACTCCTATTTTGTGAATAATATTTCTGCACCTTACTATCCCGTCCAAGTTCTGTTCTACCATCCATTTAAAAAGCTTGTTAGCTACTCAATGATTCGCTTTGTCCTTCTTGCCTTCAGTATATCCCGTGAATGTCTAATTCTCTTAGCTCTCTTTCCTCATTATGTATTCTATAAATTTCAATTTTGTTTCTTTTTGATTCTAAATAGAAATGTTCTTTTTCCACATAGAATTTCCTCATTGTTTACATATCATGTTCATAGCATTCTCAATATCCTTCTGTGGAATCATATCTCTGTTGCATCAAGACTTTTCTATATATGTGAGGAAATTTTCCAGTATTTACTTGACATATATAAGAACTGATATTACACAGCAGTCCCCCTTTTTTATTTTTTATTTTTTTTTTTTGGCTTCTAACGAAATTTTCCATTTTCTTAATAATTTGGATGGCATCTTATGCTATCGTTCGGATTTTTTGTCATTTCTCAGATAGTTAAATGTCTGCACTTTCTTGATGCACCTAACTTGTATCATGGGATGTTCTTCTTGCCAACGACACAGTTTGTCTTCTTACAATTGATAGTCCTTTTTTCATGCTTTCCTTTACTATCTTGACTAGGAATTCCCGCAGTTTCTTTCTGTATTTGCCATCAAGATAGTTTTATCTGCGTATCTTATATGAAAATTGAGTCCGTAACGAATGCCAAGTAATAAATACTAACTCCAAAATCAAAGCAAATTTGGTAAAACTATAGATATTTCCAATTTCAATTTACTCCGGTACAACATTAAATGATAAATAGAAATAGAGTTTATAAGTAAGGGGGGAGCATTGTATAGTGAGACTTAAGTATTGATATTTGCATATCTATATAAATATTAGGTAAACTTTAGTGATCACCCTCCCACTCATATGTAAATTAAGTGTAATAGTACAGGTTTTTTTTTCATATTTTTTACCTCCACAGATTAAACATGGTTTTGTTGATGCTAAAGAAGGTGTACTCAATGAAAATCACAGATGCAACACACTTGATTGAACGCAAAAAGAGTGAACGTGCTACGACTGACTGCCATGTGGAGTTATTGCATCGAGTTCACGTGAATCTTGCAAAGCGTATCAACCTTTGCATCACAAATGATGGAAATTACCACTTATATACCTAGACTGTATGAACGTAAGCGAAACACTAGACTGATGACGAGATCTCATCAGTTTACGGTTGAACTAGCTAGATGTAGCCCTAACTTTCATGCTAACAGTTTCTTATCCCACACTTCTCGTTTTTGGAACTCCCCCCACCCCCGATTTCCAACCAACATTAATCTGCAAAAATTTGAATACAATATCAGTCGCTATCTACTGTCCTCCTTATTGCTCTTTCCTTTCTCCCCATTACTAATGTTTTCTGTTCCTAATTCCTCCACACACTGTAACCCCTTGCATGTTAGTGGTTGTACTGTTCTGCTTAGGGTGATACCGATTAAAAGAATATTCCAGTGTTGCCTGGTACCATCCTGTTACTCTCGACGAAACCAACTGGCACCTACTGAAACGATGGATACGGGACCATTTCAAGTTCAGCGCATTTAATACATGCCCACACGAAGCCTTACAGACTATGAGAGGAAAGCCATTAGACATTACTTTCGTCCTCTACACAACGTCATCAGTGGTCCACACATCGATCCCCGTCCCTCACTACTGGAAGTGAGTGAAACAAGACCTTAACCATGACGTCACATTGGGTATAATTGAACAGATGCCAATGGCCACTCCTATAACCTGGTGCTCAAGGATGGTAGATTTACAAGAACGCTGCCTCAATGAGGGAAACCCATTACACACCGTACCTATTTAATCAGGTCTCCATCATTCCGACTCAGACATGGAAAACAGTTCTGGATGCATGCAACGGGTACCACAGCTTACCGCTTTCCCCAGCCACACAAGATGCCACTACATTTATCCCTGAATGGCACCGGTTCAGATGTCTTCGTACTACCCAGAAATTTCATGCGTCTGGAGACGGATATACCCGTCGGTTCGACGATATTACAGTGGACATGGTTCGAAAAACCCGTGGTATAGACGACAGCCCCCTTTGGGGCGATTCTATAGAGTCCTCGTTCTGACACACAATGGAATGTATAATCCACTGTAGGAAGAATGGGATTATGTTTAACTATGACAAATTCCATTTTGCCGAGAGTGAGTTAGAGTTTGTCGGGTTCTTAATAACGGCCGATGGTATAAAACCAACGATGAAAATGACTGAGGCCATCCTTCACTTCCAAATATCACGTGCGTCAGGTCCTGGTTTGGACTGGGGAATCAGGTATCTTACGCATTCTCGCAAGGTGAGGTGATTGCCCCCTTCCGAGAATTACTGAGCTCGAAGAACAGACAATTTTATTTTGACGAAACACTTGACCAACTTTTTAAGGAGTCGAAGCAAGTAATTGTGCGGAAAACTGAGAACGGAGTCAAGGTGTTTAGATTGGGTTACCCAGATTTGCTAGTGACTGTTGTCCATCAACCACTCATAAAAACCTTCACAGATCGAGCACTCGAGAAGATAAAGAACCCATGTCTCTTTAATTGCACGGAAAAGCGCATTAATATACAAATTTAGGATTATGCATCTCCCTGGAAAATTTAATGTTGTACCCAAATGTGCTTCCCAGTACCCAGCATGGATTCCATCAGAGGACTCAAAAGAACGTCTCCAAGTATCATCTGCACATATACAACAGAAACGTAGACGGTCATTTTACGAGGCGACTACAACTGATGCAGTTGAACAAATCGATAGTGCAACCAAGGATGCATTCATGTCCACATATGAGTATCATCCTAGATTGATTGGCTATCACATGGGATAGGATCGTTGCCGCGGCATCCATTGATGAAGAATATTGGACTCTGACAGAATATATACGGACTGGTTTCCCCAAATCACGCCCTGACGTCGCATCAGTGATCTCTCGGTTTTTGCCCCATGCGTGATGAATTGTATTGCATTGAAGGAGTGCCGATCAAGGAGAATAAAATCTTTATACCTCGACAACTTCGTGCGGAAGTACTTGAATCTCTACATTCTGCACATCAGGGTGTAAAAGTCATGCTAGCAAATGCAAGACAACGCCTATTTTGGCTTGGTTTGAATCGAATGTCAGATATGTAACTCTATCATCCATCATAGTCTAAGGAGCCCTTGAGGCCGCCGTCTAAATCTGAATTTCCTTTCCAACAAACTGTCATTGACTTTTTCGACTTACACGGTAGAAATTATGTTATATATGCAGATCGGTACACTGGTAGGTTGGGAGTGGCCCTAATGGCATCTGGGTAGGTTAAGGCAGTATGTGACACTCTGAGAACTTGACTCTGCGCATATGGTGAACATGAAGAACTTTCTTCCGACGGGGAAACCACTTTTTCATTCCCAAGAATACGACTCATTCCTTAAGAATTGGGGAATACGAAATCGTACTTCGGCGGCTTACTACCCACAAAGAAATGGCCGGGCAGAACTGGCCGTCAAAACGGCAAAGTGTATACTCGCAAACAAAACGGGCAGCTGTGGTTGGCTTTGTCATGATCGTTCAATCCGTTCTTTGTTGACCCAATGCAAGGATCTTGATATGTCTCCTGCTATTATGTTTTACTGTCGTGTTATTGAAGACCATCTCACTCTCCTATGGGAAAATACCAGATACGTAAACAGTGGAGACAAATTGGTGAACTGGTAAGGGGGCAGCAATGGCTAAAAGACACATGAGGAACGAACACTCTTACAATGAACATTGTCACCCATTTCGGGAAATACAAATTGGCGATTCTGTTCAAATCCAAAATCAAGATGGCCCTTATCCTCGACGGTGGACGAAAACAGGGGAATCCCGGAGATCCAGAATCAAGATGGCCTTTATCTTCGACGGTGGACGAAAACAGGGGAATTCCGGAGATCCAGAATCAAGATGGCTCTTATCCTCGACGGTGGACGAAAACAGGGGAATCCTGGAGATCCAGAATCAAGATGGCCTTTATCCTCGACGGTGGACGAAAACAGGGGAATCCCGGAGAATCAAGATGGTCCTTATCCTCGACGGTGGACGAAAACAGGGGAATTCCGGAGATCCAGAATCAAGATGGCCCTTATCCTCGACGGTGGACGAAAACAGAGGAATCCCGGATATCCAGAATCAAGATGGTCCTTATCCTCGACGGTGGACGAAAACAGGGGAATCCCGGATATCCGGAATCAAGATGGCTCTTATCCTCGACGGTGGACGAAAACAGGGGAATCCCGGAGATCCAAAATCAAGATGGCCTTTATTCTCGACGGTGGACGAAAACAGGGGAATCCCGGAAATCCAGAATCAATATGGCTTTTATCCTCGACGGTGGACGAAAACAGGGGAATCCCGGAGAATCACGATGGTCCTTATCCTCGACGGTGGACGAAAACAGGGGAATCCCGGAGATCCAGAATCAAGATGGCCCTTATCCTCGACGGTGGACGAAAACAGGGGAATCCCGGAGATCCAGAATCAAGATGGTCCTTATCCTCGACGGTGGACGAAAACAGGGTAATCCCGGAGATCCAGAATCAAGATGGTCCTTATCCTCGACGGTGGACGAAAAACAGGTGGAAGGAAG